AAAAAAAAAAAAAAAAAAAAAAAAAAAAAAAGACTTAAATCTGCCGACATGTGCATATATATTGAGAAATTAACGTTGCTAATTGTGTTTTATTCTACCACAGATGCTCAATCCTACAGAATTTTGTGCCGACATTGTCATTGAGCACAAGTAAGATTCGTCTCCTTTGTTTTTTTCCCTTTTACGAATACAATTTGGTCTAGAGTTAGACAAACATGATTTTGATGCAGGTATGTCGAGTGCACTTCGTCAGTAATACAAGCTCTAGTTTTGTTTAAGAAGTTGTACCCGGAGCACCGAAAGAAAGAAATAGAAAGCTTTATTGTGAAGGCTGTAAATTACCTCGAAGATGTTCAGAAGCCTGATGGATCATGGTATACTTTTCTTCCCATTTTTGACCTTTTATGTACAAACATTGCACACTTTTTGCAAGTCTATAAAGCATTGATATAAATTTCTGCAGGTATGGAAATTGGGGCGTGTGTTTCACATATGGCACTTGGTTTGCCCTTGGAGGACTAGCAGCAGCCGGGAAGAGCTACAACGATTGTCCAGCCATTCGAAAAGCTGTCAAGTTTCGGCTAAATGCACAAAGAGAAGAAGGTGGATGGGGAGAAAGCTATCTTTCCTGCTCAAATAAGGTAACCCAACCTGCATAATATAAAATATAGTGACTGATCTTAGCACCACCAATAATACAGTAGCAAATATCATTTCTTAAGTTTAGAATTCCAAAAAAGATGATAGAATTAAAAAAGAGATCCCTTACAACTATGTATCATTATACAGGAATATGTACATCTGGAAGGAAATAGATCAAACTTGGTACATAATGCATGGGCTATGATGGGTCTAATTCATTCTGGCCAGGTTAGCCTCTCATGCCATATCAATCTTTTACATATTTTTCCTCTAAAAAATCTTATTACCTATTTCTTTCATTTCAATAGGAGGATAGAGACCCAATACCTCTCCACAGGGGAGCAAAGCTTTTGATCAATTCTCAGTTGGAAAATGGAGATTTTCCCCAACAGGTAAACTAAGCATCTTGTAGTCTTCCTAATCTTTTTTTCATATGAAATAATAAAGCAACATCATGAAAATGTAATAATAATATCCTGTAATGTAACTTTTCCAGCTTATTGCAACTTTCTTATTGTCAATTCATTGGCAAGAAATCACAGGAGTTTTCTTGAAGAATTGCATGTTACATTATGCAGCATACAGAAATATATACCCACTGTGGGCTCTAGCAGATTATCGAAGGCGTGCACCACTACCATCGACACCAATCAAAAGCATCTAACAACTGCATGATCAATCTCTTTCCAATAAATTGATGAAAGTAGTCCATATAAGTTTTACTTGTTTGATTTTGTTGCCAATATACACGTTTATACTGATTTTAACCTTTCATTGTTCCTGTATTGTAATAAATTATACATTTATCAATAAAATAAAATATTAGAATACCTTTCAAAAAAAATTTATATCAATAAAATATTCTTGTATTTCTTTAATCTTAGCACAAATAATGTAACTAAGTTTTGCTTTTAAATTTAACACTGGTTACACCAGCGAAGTTACTAAAAATAAGTAACCTCCTGATCATGGAAAAACAAGTTAGAGTAAAGATAAAGTGAAGGTAAGCCTCAAAATTTAAAATAGCATGTTGTTCAACGCTTGCTTGTAACAAAATTATTATCAAACTATTTTACGTTTAGACCTTCACCATA